TTCTGGGAAAAATTTAATTTCACTTTAAAGTGTAAAAACATATTTTCTTTCCAGAGTAAAATGTTCAAAGAACATCTAAGTGAAATATCATGATGATATTTTAATTAGACGATTTTTAAAAATTTATTATAATGTGCGGTCTCTGAGACTGCACGTCCCCTGTTATGTTAAACTTTTTCACCTCCCCTGTTACGGGTTAAAAATCACAGCAAGATGTTTAGAAAACAATCTGGAGATTCCTTTTCTGGAGAACTGGAGAAACCTAAACTGGAGAATCCTTTTCTGCTACTCTTATGAAAAGGAAGAAATCTCCCCTAGAACTCTTATTCTTATGTCTCCAGACATTTGAAAGCTGGTTGCAAGAAAAAAATGCCAGGTGTTCGGAAAGAAACAAGAAATGGCCATCTACTACTATAATTTCTTTATTTTTTATTTATTTATTTTTTTAAGAACTACAGTTTTGAATAAGAATTTACATATTGGAGAAGTTAAAGCTACAAGAATCAGCATAATATTCATAAATTTGCAGAACTAGTTTCAAAGATTTAAGTATAGAACCTTCTTCTTCAGCTGTAGAAGAAGGTTCTATATTTAAACCTTCAAAACTAGTCTTGCAGATTTATGAATATTATGCTGATGCTTTATTTCCTATAATAATTGAAAGGCTTGCAGCAAGAAGGTTCCATATTTTTAAATTTCCGGAAATTTTTTTAAAAATTTCAAAAATTTGTTTTTTAACTTACATTTTAAACATTTGCCCTCATTAAAAGTGCTAGTTTAAATGATTTTTACAGCTACTCCAATGCAAAGAACTTTTTTTTTTTTTTTTTTTTTTTTTGTTTTTTTTTTTAAGAAAAAAGACCCATGAATGCAAAATGTAGTGGAGCTGCACCCTTTTTCCTGCAAGCCCTTCAATTGGTATTCAGTGTGTTATTTTAACTTAAAATACTTTATGTATTTCCTCATTTTTAAAATACATTATTAAGTAAAAAAATGACTTTCCCCCCCTTGCATCCAGTACTATATTACACTGATGACTATTTGACCGACCAGAGATACTGAATTTGACACACCTGCTTTAGGGCGACTTAATCTCTGGAGTGTCAATTGCAATAGCTCTGGGAAAAAGTCATATTGTCACCACTGATTCCTAATGTCTCTGATCAAAAAGAAGATCCATTCATTTTTCCATTTCAATTCTTTATAGACTGTAAATATGGGCATGGCATAAAAGAAAAATGGCAACATTCTGAATGGAGAGCAATCCAGGCATGTTTTATTTCATCTAGATACTTAATATCTAGCTGTTTTGTGGATTTTCAGCTCAATAGCAATATTTGTATATTAATTACTGGCTAATCTTTGAAATATGGTAACAGGTAGTTTGGCGACATTTTGGTAAGGTGATAAAGGTTACTAGCTAGGACTTTAGCAGTGTACATGGATAAAGTCAAGAGTGTGCACAATACCATTTTTGTGCAATTCTGGGATTTTTTTTAAGTGAAAATAGGTCAACGTGTACATGGATGATACCGTGTATGTGCAATGCAATTCTTAAAAACGCAGCAAGCAGTGGGCGATTCTGTACTTTCTCCCAATTTCACACCTTATCTTCGTCATGATTAAGCCCTTTTGTTCCATAAAAGTTCTAGCATAAGTGTAATTCAGCTAGCAGATTGTTGAAAAATAATGTTGAGTAAAAAAAAACATGCCTTTACTTTGTGAAAAAAAAATGGCATCCAAAAAAAAACTAGCAGGTTGCTGTAGCAGGGTTGGTCGCCAAATTTTCACCAAAAAATTGCCAAGTTACCATAATCCGAAGATTAACCTAATTACCTTTCACTGACATTTGCAGAATCTATGAACCAAGCTAATAGTCAACTTGTGATACTAAGTTCATTTTATTTTTAATAAAAATGAGAAATTGATATAACAAATATAATCATCTCTATTTCATAGCAAATGTCACATATTTATAAAGGCTAAATATTGTAGTAAAAGAAATAAAACACTGTAATATTAATTTTAAACATCTGAAGTTTCAAAAGCTAAAGAAATCTACTCTCAGTGAGATTGTTTGGCAATGAATTTAATGAAACTGAATATTCTACATGTGAAGATTTCAAGCCAACATCTCTTAATTTAATATGCACATAAAACTGTAAAATAATAAGATTAAAAAAAGTACATCATTCCTGAAGCCAGTACTTACAAAAACATTTCCACTTTGTTCTCAGTTTTGTTAAAGCTTACGAGAAAAAAGTATCACCGACTTTTTCAGCTTTCAGTTCTTAAAATTATAAATCACACTTCAGCAGAAAGTAGCCTTTAATTAAAGACTCGCATCATAGATTTAGAAATAATCTCTATCATTAAAACACTTTACATAATAGAATCAGTTACAATGAAAACAAACTTGATTATCATGAAAGAAAAAAGCAAGACTCTGGTAGTGTTGTTACATCATTCTTAAACTTGAATATCTATTACTATTGCCACACATAATCTGTTAAACTATATAAACAATAAGCATCAAAATAAGTAATGCATTATTAATAAGTTTACATGACACAGAGACACATGCATGCACCTTCTTTTATAAAAACATTTATAATTTATTCCTGTAATATGTACACTGTGCAAAAAGAAAGGGGGCAGTTCTATATCTCTTCTACAATTGATGGCAATTGATGAAATTCAAATTGCATTTTTCATGTCTTGAAAGTGTGACTTAGGATATATATTAGATTTATATACAGCATTGTCCCAACATATTTATTTTAACACAAAATTGGACTTTTTCTGAAATAGCATACCAATTTTCTTTCCGTACTTTGATTCTCCGATTCAAATTATGCTTAGATATTAATTTCTGGAAAAAAATTTTAAAATTTATCATGGTGCAATTTTTTTTTTTTTTTTTTTTTTTTTTTTTTTTAGTTAACACCAAAAATAATTCACTTGGCAAACTTCTTAATTTACAGCAACTAGTTTTCCTCCCCCCTTTTTTTGTGCACAAGCAGAAAAATGGTCATCGCTCATACTTTCGAATACTTTTGATGAAGTACGTAAATCACATTTGGCGTTATTATCATTTATAACAAATATGCCAACTTTCAAAATGCACCAATATGTAAAACCAGGAATATTGTCAATGGATATGAAAAAACACGTTCTAGAAAAAATTGTTGGAACCAGAAAGAAAACATTTACACAAGAGAATGTTGAGTGTATACATCTCAAAATGTGCGAAGTGAAACTTGTTTTATGTGTAAATTCTGCGGCATACCTCTTCATAGAGGTAGATGTTTTGAGTGCTTTCACACTATAAAACATTATTAGTGCTCATTATTTACTTCATTAAGTTATTTGTTTATTAAAAAATTTTGGTAATAAATAATATTGATGAAAATTATAAATTTTTCCTTTTTTGTACTTTCAACTGTATATTCTATATTCATTTAAACAAAAACTGCCTATCTTTGATAATAACGATCAAGAATATATTTCTTTGGAAAAAATTTTTAAATATATTTAAAAATACAAATTTTAAAAATAAATCGAAAAATGTGCGAATTATATTTGGATTAAGCCTAAATTTCGAATTCTGAAAGAAAGAATCAAATAAGTTTAACCAAAAAAAAGTTGGTGTGTATTTAATTATGGCAAAGCACACTAGGGCTATCTGCCTAAGGGGAGGAATGCCTTCGTGGAGGACTTTCTAAGGGAAACTGGCTCGTATACACGTTACACATGGGGAAAACCACGAAAACACTTATGCAGCCAGCCCGTTTGCGGGATTCAACCTCAGACCGAACTACCAGTGTTCAGCGACTTTACCGCTCGGCCGCTGGTGGGCCGCCCAGCGGTAAAGATGAAAATTTTCATTTTATTTCTGAACAGCTTTATTTTACAGAAAAAAAAAATATTCCATTTCTTTCTGTTTTAAAAACATATGCCAATAAATAGGATGAGATGTGATGAAATTATTACGTATTTTTCATATTAATTTCATTAATGCTATCAAATAATAGGGGGACTGGAAAGTAATGTCATTTCTGCACATGTCAACAACAACATGCTAAGGGCAGAAGTGGAAGCAAATCCATGTCAAACACTCTTAACCAACCTTGGTCGACCATCCAAGAACATTTAAAGCAGAATGGAAAAATAAGCAAAGCGGGTGTTTGAGTCCCCCATAATCTGTCCGAAGAGAACAAAGCCAACCGATCCATCACATGCAGCATATTGCTTCAACGTCACCATACAGAACCGTTTTTTGATCATTTGATTACTGGAGACGAAAAATGGGTCCTATATGATAATCCAAAACGCAAAAGGCAGTTTTAATAGGGGTTACAAAGTGTTTACATCCCAAACAGACACTTCTGTGTGTTTGGTGGAGTATTCGTGGAATTGTTCATTTTGAATTGCTGAAACTTCGACAAAATGCTTATGCAGATCTTTATTGCGAACAGTTAGATCGAGTGAACCAATCTTTAATAAAAAAATATGCGGCGATTGTCAATAGAAAAGGCATCATTCTGCAACATGACAATGCAAGACGGACACTGGAAAAAATGAATGAATTGGGATGGGAAGTGCTGCATCACCCACCATACTCGCCCGATATCCTACACTCGGATTTCCATTTATTCCGATCCCTACAACATTTTTTTAGTGGCAAAAAATTTGAAAATTTCAATGATGTCCAAAATGCCATTTTGAGATATTTTACTCAAAAACCAATTGATTTATATTGGTCCGGGGATTGAAAATCTGCACACTAGATGGCAAAAGGTTTTTGGTAACGAGGGTGATTACATTATTGATTAAAAATAAAAACGTGTTAAAAATTTGTTCATGTGAATTTAATGTAAGAAAGCGACATTACTTTCCGGTCCCCTATTACTTAAAAAACAACTTTAAAATAATTCTGCATAAACATATGCAATTAAATTATCTAAAAGAGAATGAAGTACATAACTGCAAAATGATACCTGAGCTTTATTCCATTGCTTCCATTTATTCATTGCAGTTTCATACTCTTCAAATAATTTTTCAGAGCGAGCTTCATAATCTTCCATTTCTTCCTCTAGTTCATCAAGAAGTTCTCTTTCCCACTCTTCTTTTTCAACGGCTTCATCACATTTTTCTCTAAAAATACATACAAGCATTTTAAGAACTTAAGAACATACTATAGAATATAAAATATGTTATATTATCAAGTAACCAATATGATAATGCTAAAAATGCTTGAAACTAATTTATTTGTTGAAAAAACAGAAGTCTTTCGTAGAAGAATAATGTATCCAAACAGCATACTGGAATCAATTACATGTTTGTATAATGTAGCCTAACAGCAAATGAGAATCATTTGCATGGTAAAGGGATACATTCAAAGATAATCATGAGACTCATATCAGTGATCAAGGAGATCTTAATCCAAGGAATCATATAAATTCTATTTTCAGTATGATGCATATTATACAAAATATTTGTGTTCACTAGTTTCCTAGTTGAAATTTTAAACAAGTACACAGAAAAAAAAATATTTATTTAAAAAAAAAAAGAAAATCCGAAAGATTTCAGATTTTAAATTACATTCAAATAGGCTTTTTTTTTTTTTTTTTTTTTTTTTTGTTTTTTTTTTTTTTTTAACATTTTGTGGGTTACCTTAATTTATCAAATATCATGTTCTTCGCACTTAAACCATAAAATTCAGTTCAAGAGCAATATCACAAAACAATTTTATTTTAAATTTAGCATATTTTTAGAATTTCTGCTACACAATCTCATGCACTGGAGATAAAAATGTTTTTTCTGTACAACGTTGCCATTGCTTGCTGAAATCCTTGAGTTTGTAAATCAAAAATCTGTTAATGTTTTACTAAATATGAAATCAATAATAAAACAAATTCCAAATTTCAAATTTGGGTTTCCAAATCCCCATATTCACAGTAGGATTACATCATTCAAAATTGGAAGGATCTAGGTACCATAATTTTATCAAAATGTGAGAAACATACATACATTTATGCAGATTCTTCATTATTTAATTTCTTCAAATATAATACAGGGCGATAACATTTGGTGGCAACAGTTTGAAAAGTGAAATAGACATTCAGAGTGATTCCATGCAAAATCACAAAAGGAAAACAATAGTACCTCAGAGACAAAGCCCATTTGGACTAATAAAAAAAGTTCCATAAAAATGACTTTTTATTAATTCTTATGCATTCCAAATCAGATGAATCAAAACAATTATTAAACCATAGATATCATTAAACCATATATTGCAAAACTGCAACTAGCTTGTATCTAATACTGCAAAATTTATTTTTAGACTGGCAGATTATTTTAGACAGGAAACTTGCAAATAGAAGACCACATCTGTGATTTTGGGGTGGGGGAAACGATAAAAAAGGTTTTTGATCATCTTTTTTAAAGTATCATTTATTCTTTTAATTAAAATTGAAAGTAAAAATAGAAGTGTTAATCAAGTAACATTGCCAAATAACCTAAAAACTGTGTAGTCTATTTCTTTAATCCCTATCTAATCTTGCTTTACTTTCTAATATAAAACTATAGCAGTGCATTTAAAAAAGTTTTAAATGAAATTTAACTATAATTTATTTTTAAATAACTAGCTGAATTATAGCTTAAAATGCAAAAATATGTCTATCTATTTGGACTTCCAAAAAAAAAAAAAAAAAAACTACATTTACAGAATTTTTTTGCAATATGATTATACTTAAACTTGAAACTTAAAATTTAAAAGTCAAATTCAATAATCACTTATAGTTTAATTAAGATATTAAGAAACTAAATTGCTTATCAGATATTTCAAAGAATTTTGTGAGAGAATATCTAATTACACTATATTCGATGATATTGTTGCAATTAACTGACATTACTTTCCATAGCCACAGATAAGTAAATCTTAGGCAATACCATTAAAATTAATTCATAAAATAAAAAGATAAAATGAAATTTTATTCATATTCTTTACATTTTACATTTATTATTCCCTGCACTGCACACACAATTATTGTATGGGCCAGAAATGTTCTTAATAACATGTGGTATAAATTTCTCTACTATGAAAAAAATTTCCCAAATAAAAAAAATTTCCCATTTCAATTAGTTTTTACCATTTTATCATATTTCTTAAATTTTCTTATATGATTTTGCTAATTTCTGCCAGCTTGAATTAGAGCACTGACCTTACCCTTGACTAAACAATGAAGATTACAAAAATATTAAATGTGGTCATGTAAAATATTTTTCATTCCAGTTATGCACTTGGATATTTCTTCTATGGCTGTTCATCCTCCTCCTATTTCGTTTGTTACAAACTATTAAACATTGAGGTGTTTTTATTATTATTATTATTATTATTATTATTTATTTAAGTAAAATGGCTTATAAGAAAAGAAAATGCTTCATTTTTGAAAATAAAGATGCAAACTTTTAAAAAGTTGAATCATTAAAGGAATTAAAACCCCCAAAAAACTTGGATCAAAATTACTTTTTTTTTAATTTCAAAATTTTACATTCATATTAAAATGAAAAAACATTTCTTTCAATCATTTTCAATCTGGCACACATTTAATTCATTTTGAAGGTGCTTTACAAAAGTGGTTTGAAAAAGTTAAGTTTGACAATCAATGGTACATATTTAACAGCAAAAATTTTGGAAATACTGAAAAGGATGTGTATGACTTATCTTCCCCAGTTGCTAATTTTAAAGACTAATTTAAAATAAGATGAAGTCCTGTATAGAAATCATGCAGAATCAGAAAAGAGTCAGCTCATTAACTGTAGGAAAATTCTTACCTGCTTTTTGCTAACAGAAATTACTATGAACCACTTTCAGTGCTAACAAAGTACAACTGCTTTTTAATTTTCTGCAATATAATATTGAAAGAATGCATGAAGAATCAAGGTATGTAGGAAAACTGAGGCAGAATAATAATAATCATTCTTTGCAATTACTTACTTTTAATATTTAACACCTCTATACATAATTAATTATAATGAAAACCATACAGGAAAGTATTTTTGCCTCCCTAGAATAAACTATTATGACTTCACAACCTCTGCTTAAGGTAAGTAATAGAATAATTTTAGATTAAATGTAGCCTATATGGTTTAAGAGTGTGTATGTGACTATGGCAAAGCCTAGAGGGCTATCTGTATGGTTTAAGAGATATTTAGTGATACATTTCATTTTAAATACTCTGAATGTATAATTTTCAAATATTAGTAGTTATAAATAACAAACATTCAAAACTGAAATAATAAATAAAATTGTCATACTCATTAATCATAAGATTCAAGGACGTTGATGTGAAACCCTGATTCTGACGACATTTCTTCAACTCTTCCCATGTACTTAAAATAGTCTTCCACAAAGACAGTTGTTCAGCTTCTCTCACATCCCTAATTTTTTTTGTTTGCCTTTTAAGATTTAAAAGAAGAATGATATACAATCTAATGCATTCTACAGAAAAATCAACATATCAATAACACAGAAAAAGTCAACAATATTTTCTAATGATTTTTTTTCTCATTTCCATTCAAAAGTAGTGCATATCAAATTCATACAGAACTAATGCCACAGATATTAGTGACTGCAATTTGACCAATTTCATATTCATATGCTTTTTTAAAAAATATTATGACACTTGCTTACTGTTATGAAAGAACATACAGCATAGATAGAACATACAGCATGAAAGAACATATATAGGAAGAATTGTCATAGCAAAATGCAATGGATAAGAAAAGCATTTCTCGGAGAAAGAAGAAGTATTATAAATTATGCTTTATAATGTAAGAAGGAAAAAAAATTAAAAGTCTGAAATTAATTCTGAAAGGTCTGAAATTAAGTCTGAAAATTAAGTCTGAAAAAATCAAGTCTGAAAGGTTTCAAATGTTAAATTACGTCCACAGGGAATTTTTTTTAACATTTTGTGTTACCTTTATTTTTTTAAATATCACGTTCTTCGAACTTAAATCATAAAATTATGTTCAACAGCAATATTACAAAATAATTTTAAAATGAGCATAGCTTTAAAATTTTCAATAGAGAGCCTTGTGCGCTGGAGATAAAAATGTGTTTTCTTCCTGTACAGTGTTGCCATTGCTCGCTTTGAAATCATTCAGTTTGTTAATTAAAAATCTGTTGAAGTGTTACAAAATATGAAATCGATAATAAAACAAATTTCAAATTCAAATTAGAGCTCCTACATGCCCATATTCTATGGAAGATTACGTTATTCAAATTTTGATGGAACTAGGTACAGTTGTTTTACCACAATGCAAGAAACATGCATACATTTATGTAGATTCTTTATTATTTAATTTCTTTAAATATAATACAGGGCGATAATATTTGGTAGCAACAATCTGAAAAGTGAAACAATGTTTGTCGTAAATCGACGCAAAATGCCAAAATGAAATCAATAGCCCATCTGGGCAAATTGCCCTTTTGGACTAATAAAATATATAAATAAAAGATTGGTTTGATTTGGGTTTATTTGGTCATGACAAAGCTTGCTATGGTTGCCTGCCTAAAGAAGGGATGTCTCCATGGAGGATTTTCTAAGGGGTGGTGGTGTATTTAATTATGGCAAAGCACACTAGGGCTATCTGCCTAAGGGGAGGGATGCCTTCATGGAGGACTTTAAGGGAAATTGGCTTGTATACACGTTACACATGGGGAAAACCACGAAAACACCCATGCAGCCAGCCCGTACGCGGGATTTGAACCTCGGACCATACTACCAGTGTTCAGGACTTTACTGCTCGGCCGCTGGTGGGCTGGATTTTCTAAGGGAAACTGGCTTGTATCCACATTTCACATGGGAAAAACCAAAAAAACACCCATGCAACCAGCATGTTTGCCTGGAATAGAACCTATGTCAAAATACCTTTTTTCAGCGACCTACCACTCAGTTGCTAGTGGGTGAGGGGGTGGGAAATTAAACTGCTTCCTAAGCTGTATAGCGCTCCAGTGAAAGAGACACAGGGCCAGTTTTAAAATTAAGTAAACCTAGGTTATTGGTTAACAGCACCAATATACAGAGTTTTTAATAATATGGCAAACCAGGCTCTCTTATTCATAATCAAAGAAGGCTCACTGGCAGCTAAGTGGTACTATCGCTGAACATTTGTAACTTGACCTGGGTTCAAAGCCCCCAGTGAAGAAATTAGTTGCATGGGCACTTTCATGTATTTTCCCATGTGTAATATATATTAGCCAGTTTCTCTTAAAAAGGTCTTCCATGAGGGCATCCTCTTCCTAGGCAGATAGCCCTCGCATTCTTGGCAATATTATTTTATTAAAAAAATGTCTTTAATTTAATATCTAATAAATATTATATATTACGGAAATATTATTTGAGTATCATAAATAAATATATTTAGCATTTTTTATTAAAGTATTATAAGTTCTTGCAGAAGAAAAGGTACACTTATGTAACAGGAAGAAGGAGAAATGTATATAAGGAGCAGGAAAATAATCAGTGATAGTAGTTAGAAAAGTTATATCAAGTTATGTGTGTTATACAAAGAAATGGTTTGTTTAGTTTATTGAATGGTGAAGCACACTAGGGATATCTGCTAAGGGAAGGGATGCCTTCATGAAAGACATTCTGAGAAAAACTGACTCATATAAACATAAAGAAATGGATACAAAAAGGATGATAGAACATTATTTGATGTAGTCTACAGAAAAAGTAAGTTCTATACTAAAATATAACAATACAATTCAAAATAGTATTATATTTAACTGGTTGGTGTATTTTAATTGCATAAGCTTTGTTTCCTTTTTTGAGTAGATGTTTCCACAAGTCTGTAAAGTAATAATTTAATCATCATATTTCAGCATGAATTGTTACACAGATCTATAGAAGTTGACACAGGGTTTATTTGGAAAACTTGATATTTATTAACAATAGTTTTATTTATTAACAGTGCTGTAACAAATAATTAAAGTGATACATGGCATAGGAATATTTTTTAGTCCTTCCTTTGTAAATGCATATCAATATGTAATTTTAATTATTATATTTTTCAGTTATAACATAATTTCAGTTATTACATTTTGGAAACTGATGAAAAAAAAGTCAGAAATCAATATTGCAAACATCAAGTGGGGGGAGGGAACTGGAGAAAAGAAAAGAAAGTGCATTTTTAAAAAATATCTTAACAAAGAAGATTCTAACAGCCCACATGATGAAAATTTTCAAGATAATTCACATTAATTTTAATTAGTGGAGAAATTTATTACCTAAAAATCGTAATACTCATATGATAATGCCAAACAATTACCATATGATAATATGTCATACATAATACACATAACATATTATAATGTATAACAGATTATTATAATATTCATATGATAATGTCAAACCATTATTATAAGAGTATTATTAAATCTGAAGATGATTCCCTCCATTCACCCACCCAAAAAAAATTTTTTTTTTAATTTGTTGAATTATAAGCCAAGTTTGATCCATTAACTAATGAATTCCCGTCAACAAAAAATTATGGGGCATACATAGTACATCATCTTGCATAAATGAAAATGTATCATTTTTGTTTATTTTTGTTTAAGATATCATATTTATGAAAAGTAAAAGAGTAACAAACTACACCTTAGTTGTGATAAAAAAACACAGTCTAATTTAGGCATAAGTATTATCTCAAAAAATTAACTCAACATTAAAGAATGATAATGTTATGGATGGATGAGATATTAAACCTTAAATGAAAATGTAGACACAGAAAAGGGAAATGGTGCCAAAACATATAAATTATACCTACAAATGGTGTATTAGTATATTTATATAATTTTACTTTCTCAATTTCAACAGATTTATTCAAAATTTATATCTTCATTGAACTGTAGTATCTTCATATTTAAATTTCCTCTTTTCAATTAATTCTCCATGTAAGAATGCAAATTTAGGTAATAGTATTTTATTTTAAATTACAATAACCTTTCTGTATTTTCATTTGTTGATGACAATTGAATTTAACTTCTAGCTCAAAGTTTTAATTTTCAGAACTTTTAAAATTAATTTCATTTGGAGCAATCAATTTCAATTTGCACCATTATATGAAATGAAATTTAGAACTTTTGAAAACTGTGGGACCTCTTAGCAGAAAGTTTATCCTTTATGCATTGAAAGATTTTACATTTAAATAGCTCTCACATCTTAAATCTTAGCTTTATCTTCAAGTTCAGAAGAAAATTTTTACAGATAAAAACCATTTCCTCTGAAATGAATTTCAGTAGCTGTGAACTGAAACTAATCACCCAGAAAAAAGTATATTCTACTCTCATACAGAAAAACCACTTTTACAAGCAAGAAATAATTAATCAATCATGTCATATTTTCTGAGTTGCATATAATTGCTTATTAATTTTGAGATGGAATAAAAAAAAGATATAAAAAATATATACAAAGTTTACGACAAATAGAATCATCTGAACCCCAAACTAATTAACTTATAAAATAAATACAACTATTATATCTGGTTTCCTTCCATTCATTGTGATACAGTCTACTTCATGTGCACAGTCTAAAAGAAGTCATCACATGAAGTACTTTTAAGTTCATCAGGAGCCTTCTAAAATGTATTGCATTATTGCGGCACTTCAACATTCTTTCTTTAACTCATTCGAGGTTTTGAATCAGTCTACTTTCAAGAAAGGTTTGTAGCAGCTCTTTTGAAAAAGCTCATTCAATTTTAGACATTTGCAATGTTTGATATGAAGAGCATTAACTTCTATATTAAAAGAATGCTTCAGAATTTGAATTAAAATGTTTTTGCAGCCTATAAATGATAAATATTAATAATGTGAGAGAAAGATTCAGAATTAGAAATTCCTCAGATTCATGAAGCATAAAGTATAACAAAGTTCTAAATTTTCAGTCCTCAAAAATCCATTTTGTAATTTTTTTAATTCCTAAACTAAACTCAGTGGTGCAACAGCCCTAGCGGGCCATGGCCTACAGTGCCCCGAAATCTGCTTTTTTGACCTTAGGCCCTGGAGTGCGTCAGCATATGCTCTAGGCAAGTGATCAGCTTGTCGCAGGATGCCCCCCTCCCGGTGTTTAGTCCCCAAGCGAACTTGGTACTTATTTTATCGACCCAGTTATAACGTTGCGCGCCTCCAACTTGCACGCAACCAAGAGGTGACTGTGAAAGCTGTATAAAACACAGAGTCTTGTAAAGGGTTTAAGTCCCTTTTATCAACGTAATAATACATTGCATCCTCTTGACGCTACAGACGGTGCCAACTCGGCAGTCAATAAAATAATAACCTGAAAAAAATAAAGACAAGATTCTAACTCGAGGCGCTCTAAATAACTAACTCACCGCTTTTACAAGCAGGTCCTACAAACGACCTGTTGTAATTTTCCAAATTCTGGCAGCAGCAAATGTAGGGTTTTATATTTATTTAACTAACATTTATTTTAAGTTTAAACTATCTTTCCTGTCAAGCCTTACTTTCCCCTGGAACTGCCAATGCCAGAAATGTAAATTGAGTAGAACGCGCAAGCATTCAAATTATCAGCGGAGTATTCTGATTTAATAGAGAGGAACAAGTTCGGTATGTGATATTCTTACTGCACGAGCGCGGAGGTATTTGCGGAATTGAAAACCCCGCATTGTGGCCTATGTGCTGGCGGGAAGTAGTGGTAATCGTTCCAGTGAGCTTCAGTCTGCTAAATTAGCAGGCGTATTGTAAAACGCGGTGATTAGTATTTTAGAGAACCTCGTAGTTAGAATCTTGTCTTTATTTTCTTTTCAGGTTATTATTTTTATTTGACTGCCGAGTTGGCACCGTCTGTAGCGTCAAGGACGCAATTGTAATTTATTACGTTGAATAAAAAGGGACTTAAACCCTTTACAAGACTCTGTGTTTTATACAGCTTTCACAGTCACCTCTTGGTTGCGTGCAAGTTGGAGGCGCGCAACGTTATACAGTCAAGGGATGAAAAGCTGAGTCAACCTTGCCCAGCCTGGGGATAGAACCCTGGACCTGTGGTGCAGCTGCACTACGCGCTAGCCACTTTGCCACCGGGCAGTCTTTTTTAATTCCAGCTTTAGCAAAATTCCCATTTCAAATAATTTTAAAAATTTTTATTTCTCAAATATAAAATTAAAAATTCAATGGCTTTTAAATTTTAGTTCACTGTCAAAAACTAATATAAAAAGCTAACTAAACTAATATAGTTTATATGAAGCTAGAAGTGTTATATACAAAACTTAACAAGGAAAATTAAATATTTATAACTATAAAAAAATTTTGTTAGAAATACTCAATACAGAGAAAAAATTATTTTATTATTGAAAATAAAAATTTCTGGAACATAATATTACTGTATCACACCTGATGTCATTTTGATATTGCTTTAACCGAGCCAGTCTCTCATTATTGATTGCAGTTTCTTCCATCCCTCTTTCCATACTCTGCTTCAAATTAGTAGCAGCAGACCTTAGAGCTTTCAGCTAAAATAAAACACAGTCTTTCAATTAATTTTTGCCACACTTCCTTTTCTCTCTAAAAATAAAAATTTTTAAATAAAATAAAATGATCACTCCAGAGAGGCCAATCCAAGTTATAAATGAATCTTCTAAAATTCACCATGTTATTTAGACACCGAAAGAAACTCATCATTAGTAAGAAAATATTATCAAAGAATCAAATTTTCAGTGTTCAGTTACACAAACTTCCATTGAAAGGCAACTCATTATTCAATTAATGCTTACTTAAAAGCACCTTTCATTCTCAAAAGCAATTTTTAGTACTAGAAATAGTTTTAGAACTTCAGAACTATACTATTAATGCAATAACAATAGATTCTAATGTAATTTAGTTCCTCTTACTATCATGCCATTATAAAAATAAATACACTCAGATTTAGCCTCAATTAATGTATACCTATAGTAGCAGTTCTTGGAATGACATTTATTAAATTTCAGAAAGCAGTTTTTTTCCTTCATTGCTAATCACCAAGGACTTGTATAAGCAAACTTGCTCAAATTGGAAATTCACCATTAAAAGCGAGTTGCCTATATATTAATTAGATTTACATGTAGTATATAATTATGATGATGTTTACAAATATGCCATTTATTATTTATTGTAAAATAAAAGAATGAGCGCCAATAGTTTTTTTCGGCTAATTATATTTTTTCACAAAATGGACTTTACTTTTAAGTTTAAAAGTACAGTGAAAAATTATCAATAGCACAATAGACATAGCAATGCACAGTGTGTTATAATATATCAAATATAGAGAAATTAACTATAAAAAATCCATACTATCATTTTCATAAACATTCTTTTCACAGCAACTGAAAAGCATACCAAGATGCAAGGAATAATTTTTCAAATCTAATTTCTTATTAAAAAACTCTATAAAACATAAATTTACATCAGCTAGGAAAGGACATTTCTTGACTGTAGCATTGACAAAAAAAGAAAAAAAGGGGGGGGAGTCAAATCAAGCAAAATAAAAAAAAAAAAAAAAAATTCTTAAAATTATAGTAATTCAATTTTTAAAAATAATAAAATTTTAAAAAATATAACAAAACTTGAATTTTTGCTTTAGAATAAATTTTAAAAATAATATTAACATTTCTATTTTCATTTTTTTATGTCACATATTGCAGTCACTACCACTAAATACGTGAAGGAATGAGCTCTATTGTATACTATAAGGTATTTCTCCCACTTCCCTAGTGTGCCTTCATGGTGTAACGGTAACACGCTGGGCCGGTATTCCAGAGGTCCGTGGTTCGATTCCCGACGAAGGCGGTTGCATATTTTTCATCTTTTCTGCTTCCAATTACCCTAATGACTCAACAAGTGGCACCCAAACTAAAAGGGTTGTGGATGATGATTCTCCGCACCCAGTATTTGGCGACTAGGTCTCCTAAAAACCCTAGTCGCCCTTTAAAAAGGGGAGTATATAAGGTATTTCTCCCACTTTCCTAGTGTGCCTTCGTGGTGTAACGGTAGCACGCTGGGCCGGTATTCCAGAGGTCCGTGGTTCGATTCCCGGCGAAGGCAGTTGCATATTTTCATCTTTTCTGCTTTCAATTAACCTAATGACTCTACAATACTAATTCCAACCATAGCAGGTGACTATTATTTTGTAAAAAGGAATAGATATTTCAACCAGTGATTTAAGAGAAACATAAATTTTCTTTTGAGGAAAAAATAAGATTAAACATATGGCAACAGCAATTTCGAACAGTACGAGCAAACACTCAAGATTTTATAAATGTTTCTTTCAAGAACATTAAAAAAAATTATTACTTCAGAAAGACATAATTAAATAAATAATATAAAATTCCTATTTCCATTTTTATCTTTAGATGAACAATGTAGTTAAAACTGAGTCATATCTACAAGCATAACGCCAAAAAAATCTAGGACTAAATATGCTGAAAGTTTAAAAAAATTTTTAATCTTTTAATGAAGAAATATTGATGATACTAACATTTTGTTTTAGAGTGTTCACTAAATCCAGCTTTTCATTGCATGAATATTTTTCACACATCTGAATCAAACGAGATTCGATTATATGCTCAGAACTGAAAAGAGGATGATGCAAAAATGAAATGGATGATATATCTAAATCTAACTGATATCCCTTGTCATTCTTCACATTCAGTTTCCATTTATCTGAATTGAGTGAAGCCTAAAATGAAAAATAAATCATTTTGAAACATAGCAGTGAAACAGTTATTTATAATCTTAAACTGCAAAAATTATTTTTAATTTCAAATTAAAATTGTCATATTATTTTTAAACTTGGATAATTTTACATAGAATTCAGAAGATATTAGATATTTTTAGATACACATGTTAGATATACTTGGATAATTTTACACAGAATACAGAACAACACAGAAAATGTTATAGTATTTAAATGTAAATATATATTCTTATTTTATTTAAAAACACAACTCTCGTCAGGAAAGAGTTAATTATTTTAAAAACATTACTGCATTTCATTTCTTTCATTCCAGTATTAAACTCTAGTGTTATACAAAATGTATAAACTATAAAATTATTAGTTTAAGTACATATAAGACAAACTATAAAATTATTCTTAAATTGTGTAATCATTTTATCTAACTAAGCAGCATTTATACATATAATAAAAATTATCATCTCAATCTTGCATTTTCCATGCACTGTAACTACACAGAATCGCCTCCAGTATTATTGTAATCTACATTTTGGATAACATCCATAATAATTTAGAAGATTCATAGTACTTTGCAAGAAATGTAACACAATACCTTAACATACTCAACAGCAGGAAATGTGTCCATTTCTTCCTCAATCACTAGACGAGCTGGACTCTTACACACAGGATCAGGTGCCATTTTTACACATCCATCTTCTCCAAACCATTGCAGTTCCTATAAAACAAAACAATTAGAATAACCTTCTTGCCAGAGGACAGAAGTCATGTTTAAAAACAAAGATCATCATAGAAACTATTGCTTTCTGACTAATCATTGCAGTACACTGTTTTGCTGCATTTATTGCTGAATATGGATGAAAATAAGACTATTTCACTATTGCAATAAAATTAATGTCAGGTTTAACTTTGGATCCTTTTGCACGCACACATCATTTTAATCATTTCATAATGATACTCAGTAAAATTTCATAGTTAAATTTATTTCTGTATGGAAAAACATAAAATTAAAAGGAATAATCGGTACTATTCGGTTTCGAGGGCCGTAAAAAATTGCCAAACTATTGTTGATGCCAATGCTGCCAAAAATAATTGCGGCAAGAAAGGAAGTATAATTGAAATAACTATTTAAGATTGATGTTTTAATTTAGATGAAAGGTTAATTTCATATAATACTTTTTTATTATTATAATTTATATGAAAAAGCTAAATGACTCAAGGAAGCATAAGAGTAAATAACTATTCAGAATCATTATTAATTTATATAAAAATTGTTTAACATACCCGAATAGATGCCTGCATCGCTATTCGCTAACCGACTTATCCCTAAAGCATAATTCATCTCGGGTTGTTCAAACGTACTTTTCTATATGAATGATGCCTTTTCTTTGAAAATATTCTCGGCAAAGTGCAGAATCGCTCACTTATTGTTTGCCGCTTTTTACAAGGTAAAAACAATTGATTGTTTGCAATTTTCTTTTACTTTTTAGTGAAAATAGGTCGATGTGTACATAGATAAATCAAAGGTGTGCGCAGTGCCATTTTGTGCAATTCCAGGATTTTTTTTTAAGTGAAAATAGATCGATGTGGACATGGATACCGAGTATGTGCAATTCTTTAAAATGCGTCAACCAGTGGGTGATTCTGCACTTTACCCAAAATTCTATTGCCGAGTTTTCGTCATGGGCAATTCCGAAATTTTTAAAACTGTAGGATATCAAAAAAGGATTTAAAATCATAAAAGGATTTAAAAATTAAACTAGTATTTCAATGGCATCTTTAGAATAATAAAGAAATATAGAACTATATAAACTTACGCAATCTGAAATCGGCGCGTACGCTAGATTTGGCGCACTGTTAAATTGGGAGCGTTTGCTAGATTTGGCGCTTTTGCGTGTACATTTTCACTGCAATTTTTTTACGGCCCTCGAAACCGAATAGTACCGAATAATCTTATAAGTAAAATATTTCAAATGGAGTTTTTAATCAGATCAAATGTCTGTCTTTGGCTATATGGTAAAACTAAAACGCTTAAAACTTGCATGTTTCACTATATAATATATATTTGGATACATTTTTATATCATTCAAACTACTTTTAGGATTTTTTTCAGTTTCAGAATTTATTCAAATATTGCATATTTATACACACATTTGTGTATTAGATGTGATGATTTAAATTTTCAATTGTTATAGAACCAAGGAAGATTAAGCAGTCAAAATATTGATTATAAACATTCCAGAATGACAAGAAAAAGTATACAAACTTGATTCAGTATAATCCCCTTGAAATTCAATGCATTAGTCCAATATTTCTTCAACTTTTTGATTCCCTCCAGGGAGTGATTTTCGGCAAGCTCCCCAAGATATCCATCTATGGTCTTGGTGAAAATCCAAGGGAGCCAAATGGATGTAGATAACAGAAAATAACACAATGGATGTAGAAAACTCTGGAACTTCATATTTAATTACTTCTGTTGTGCCTAATAATTTCTTCTGCATTTGAATGAGCAGGTACATTACCTTAATGAAACAATATCACTGCAATACACTTGACCACTCCTTGATGGTTTCCCCCCTCCCGAAATGCTACTTTTAAATTGACCAAAAATTTTGCACAGTATTGGCTAGTAACAGTTTTTCATTTTTCACCGCAAACTATAAGCGAAATTCCTTTGACATTCCAAAAACTGATGCCATCACCTTTCCTGAGAATTAAATTATTAGAAACAATTCACTGGGCCCAAGACATTCTTCTAACTGAAATTTTTCTTCTAGTATATAGTAATCCCAATTTTATTCATTGAGCCCATCTTTCAGTAAATTTTTTCAGCCAAAATTGCAAAATATGTAATTCTCAATCATAAGAGATGTTTATGGTTTCTTCAGATTCACACACTTGTACTCATCCATTAGCTAAAACCATGTCACTGATTTTCATTTCTGGACATCCTGGACATGACTCGTCAGTTATGCAAATGTGTGAAAAGAATGAATTTCCAAGAAAAACCACCCAATAATTTAGATTTGATTTCTGCTGCAGAGTGCTTCCAAATGAAAAAATCTGATGACTATGCAAACTTTGTTTTTATCAATAAATGAAAATATGCAAAGTTGTTTTCCCTAAATGATTGCTAAAAACCATACAATTCGACAATTAAATGTGAAATTACTTTCACTTCATATGAAAATGTTGCAAAAGGATATACATAAAAATTATTTGGGGGGAATAATATCTGATAGAAATTTCAAGAATTTTTTAATCTACCAGTATATATGCATAAAACTTTCTGTGTAAGAAGGTAAAGTAATATTTTTTTTTAAATGCCGAAAACAAAAACTCTCAATTTTTCTAATCAGGGCTGAACCTAAAGCAAAACTATGAGTTTTGTTTATTTAAATATATTCACAAATAAGGAATAAAATGTACAAACTAAACTGTATCCATATTTTCACAAAAGTATATACAATTATAATTTTAAGATTAAAGGTAAAATTTTCTGCAGAAGATTATTACTTTCAAAGCAATAATATGAAACATACTAAATTTTATTGAGTTGAAACATTTTACTTCAAAAGTAAGCCCACTATATTTTCTTTTCAAGAATGGGATTTGAAACTTTTATGTTGAATGATGGCTAGAAATAATCATAACTTGATGTTTGTTGGTAAAATAACCAACTTCAAAAAAACATATGAACAGATCAAGGAGACATGGAAATTAATTTCATCAACTATTTGAAAAGGCCCACCAGCGGCCGAGCAGTAAAGACACTAAACACTGGTAGTTCGGTCCAGGGTTCGAGTCCCAGCGAAGGGGCTGGCTGCATGGGCGTTTTCGTGGTTTTCCCGATGTGTAACGTGGATATGAGCCAGTTTCCCTTAAAAAGACCTCCACGGGGCATCCCTCCCTTTCCGTGTAGTGCCTAAAGGAACTGTGTAGTGCCTTTTTGCACGTAATAAGCACAAAAAAAACTATTTGAAAAATTCTAACAGAATGGTATTTTTATCATCGTGGCTTAATGCAACATCTTGAAAGTAAGATATCAATCCCCCCCTACAAAAAATTAGAAATGCATATTTAATATTTTGATTCAATATACTGATCACAAGAGTAATTTTCTCTTTATTTCATTATAGCATATGAATATATTTTCCATTAATTAACTTTCTTTATTAATTACATTTTATTAATTAATATTCTTTTTACTTTTAGAACAGACAAGAAAGTATTGGATATACTGTAAGGCTTTTCTACTTCCTTACTGCGTACTTTGATGGTCTAATAAGAAAGCATGTCTGGCTAGTAATCAGGAAATCTAGAGTTAAAATCCTGGGTAGGTAAAATCATCACTGATTTTTCACATTTCCTGACTTAAAAAAACCCTCCTTGCCAGTCACCCTTTAAGTGGAGAAATATGTAAAGTTTTTCTCCTTTCTTACCACGTGCTTTTGTGGTGTATATGGAAAGCATGTCCAGCAAGCAATTGAGAGGTGCGGAGTTCAAATCCTGGTGTGGATCACAGTGGATTTCTTCAAAAAAATTTTGTATGACTACAATACTAGGAAAATTTTCACATTTTTTTAAACATTAATCCTTTGACTATGAAATTTAAAAAAAAATTTTTTTACTCCATTTTCCATGCAAGTGTATCACAAATAAGGTAAATTTAAGATTTTTTTGACAAATGGTTTTCAAGCCAAAGACTGGGAGACTATCCCAGCATTAGTTAATGGTGGGATACATATATCCCACATGTAGCGATTATTATTACTATAAGCACACCTATTATTATGGAAAGCTTTATTATACGAAATAGATTTTACATCATATGATACAGGGTAAGACCGGTTAATAAATCCTGCGAACCTTGCGGTATATGCAGGGATTAATGGAACTACTCATTTCTTTAATATAACCACCATACTGTACTCGTCCCCTAACAAAAGACAAGTTGACACCACCAACAAATATCTTTATTGAAAACAAATTTACAAAAACAAAAATTTACAATCTTCTTGATTACTCTTAATACAATATAATTATTAAAACAAAACTTAAATACAATATAACATAAAAAAATTTTTCATTATCTCAATGAACTTTAAATTGCAACAATTTTTAACAATGTTACATAATATTTTTTAAGAAGATATTATAATAATTTTAATACATTTTTAACAAAAGTCTTTTTCTTATTAATTAACTTTACTGAGAACTTAAAAAACAAATCTTCTTCTGTTTCTGTAATATTTTTCATAACATCTTGTATTCCTTTTCTTGATTTTTCGTCCATATATATTTTGACAACATCCGATTCAAATCTCAATTTTGGTATAAATCTACACCATCTATCTTTTAACAAAGCACAATTAAGTACATGTTCCACGTCTGCTTCTCTGAGATCCACATTGACACATTATAGATTTAATATTAAATCTATTGTAATAATACGGAACATGAGCATGATTAGTCAAGGAATTGATTCAAATAACTATTTCCAAATATTTTCTTTGTATTTACTTCTTTTAAGAACTTATAAGTAAATCTACCTTTCGACTCTTTGTCCCAATAAAATTGCCAAGCTTGTATTATCTTGATTCTTAAGGAATTTTTGAACGAAACAATCGAAGTTGGAAGGAAATTCATCTATAACCTCTTTTTTAGAGGCTTGCTTTGCATATAAATCTGCAAGTTCATTCCCTTAATGACCAATGTGTCCACGAATCCAATGAAAATAAATTTTTCTTTTCTTAGAAACTTCCAAATATAAATTAAATGTTTTGAGAACCAAATCCGTATAAATCTTAGAAGCGGCAATAGCTTGAATTGCACTTTGGCTGTCTGAATAAATATTAACTTCTTCTTGAGAGTTCTTTCTCAAGAGCCATTCCAAGGACTTTAATATAGCGTAAACTTCTGCTTGAAAAACTGAAGAATTATTACTTAAACGAAATTTTTGAACAGTACTTATTTCTCCACTTGAGAAAGCAACAAAAGAACATCCAATTTTTCCTGCAATTTTGGAACCATCAGTAAAAATTTCAAAGCCTTCACCTGAAGGAACTTTCTTATCCCAATCAAGATTTGAATATAATGCAGGATGCTTTACATTTTTCAAACTTAATATTTCAACATTATTTATTTCTTCAAGAAATTCAAAATCTATATCTATATGATACAGGGTAAAGCATTCTTTGCGTAACCCAACATTACACGTTGGGCAACTGATATTTGTTCTTTTCTCTATGTTCATTTGTGTACAACGAGCATGGCGAAGTCTTGATTTTTCAATTATTGGAAGATGATCCCCAGCATTTGGAAGATTCGAAGTACTTTTTAAACTTTTAGTAGAACATATATGTCCCATTAGTAGTCAAAAGGTTAAATATTTTATAATATCATGACTTACCAATAAATGCACTCAGTAAAAATAAATATTTATTTTTATAGTCAAGCTTACTTTTATGTAGATGTTCCTCCCCTTAAAACTGCATTTTTTTGCCTCTTGATTTTTGATGAATTAAGATGATAAAAAAAGTATGAAAAATATGCATGAAAATAATAAGGAATTTTCATTTTAAAATTCAACATACCTTTTGAGTAAGTAAGCGATTTTCTAACTTATTAATATTTCTTTTAGGTACAGATGGTTTTTTCCCAACAAAAAAACCTTCATCGGCCAAATTTCTTGGCTGCATACCTTCTGGTATCTTTAAATTAACTGGAACTAAAAATGAAAAAAAAAAAAAAAGATATATTTCAGCATTTATATTAGATTCCTTATTAATCAATAATTTCAAATAAGTATTCAATAATTCAAACCATTTCTTGATATTAAGAAATTTATTTAAGTATTTAAAAAATTTTCCAACAAATATTTATCTTATGCACTTTTTAATGCACTTCCCTACAGAAATTACTCCAGTAAGCAAAATATATGACGATAAATGCATGAATATGCACACATATTTACATTCACATACCTGGTTTAAAAGATGGATGAAAAAAGGAATTTTTCTCCTTTTCAATTTTAATATGAAATGGAATATAGGATGCTCCTTCACGCTTCGTGATATCTATACCTGTGAGCTTTTCTTGGAGTTCTTTTTTAATAAGACCAACAGAATCTAGCACAAAAATAACAGAAGATTAAGCAAAAAAATTTTTAATTAATTGCATAAGAAAGATAAATTTTTAATTCAGAGACATAAATTACTTTTTAAATGAGAAACTGAAATTTTTTTAAAAAATTATGATTGTGTTTTATCCAGAAAACTAATAAAAACACTTGTTTTTAAACAAATTATAAGAAACCAATTTTTCTATACAGCTACTTTGCAGTTAATGATAATTTCATGTTAATTAATAATTTCGTGAAAAATTCCATTTAATTACCTGTCTCCTCTTGAGTTATTTCTTCAACTGCTTCTGAAGGAGTTACTTCTGAAGATACAGTATGTGGTTCTTCATTATATGTGAAAAAATCAAAAGCATCAGTTTCATTTTTTTCAGCAGGATCAGTAGTTTCTTCAGTAAAAGGCTAAAAAACAAATATGGTTGGCATGCTTCGCTTATTCTTAATTTTTATAGCAATTAAAACTGCAAATATTCACAATTAGCTATGTTCACAATGAAAACATTAATAAACAAATTTATTTTTAATGGATGATACAAATGGGAATGATATTTGACACAAATATAAGAAATTTGCTTCTATATATCAATAATAGAATGATAAGAAAAAATGTTATCATCTCCTAAAATAAAATTTGAGGCGTTTTTATTGCACACTGATTCATTCATTTTAACTATATTCGCAATGTTGATACATGTAATATTTTTTAATTTAAACATTTTACCTAATTATGCCAATTTTAATTTTTTTTTCTATTTATATGCAATAAAAGCTTACCAAAATTAAAAAGAGTACCTGAAATATATCTTCTGTAAAATGTAGATAAGGAATATCATAATTTTTTTTAATGCAAAGAAAATCAACTTTATGTCTATACAGTGCTCATAACATCTTTAAGATTTCAATGCTCATTAATAATTAAAAACAATGATGATCCATAACATCCAATAAATATCATTTGACAGATATATATTATCCACATGCAAGAACATGTTTTCCTTGCTATCTCATCCTGTAACATATTATTTAGCTGTCAGCTTATAACATTTACCTTAAAACAAAAGATGTAAAATGTATTAAGGGATATCATAAAAATATTTTTTTAATGCAAAGAAAATCAACTTTATGTCTATACAGTGCTTATAACATCTTTAAGATTTTGATGTTCATTAATAATTAAAAACACTGATGATTTATTAATAATTAGATGATTATGGCATGATGCTCATTAATAATTAGAAACACTGATTTTATTAACTATGAATTAGTTTTAAAAAATTAAATTAGAATAACTTTTAGGACAACTACAAAAAAATATTACATATTATGTGCACAGATACTGATATCTCAAGATCAGTTTTATAAACTATGAATATTTAGAAAGCTAAGTAATTTTAAACTAAATAAAAAAACAAAATTAACACTTTTATGCATAAATATCATATATTTCATCTTACATGCTAACGAACAAGCTGTTTTAATTCATAAACGAAAAATGCAAATTGTAATAACACATATGCAATTATCTTAAAAACATACCTCAGCTACATGATCCCTCTTTTTAATATCTCTTTTCATTAAATTTCTTCTTTGTGCTCTAGGATGACATTCTGCATACAGTTTATTTAATTCCTCCTGAAAACATAATGTCAAAATATATAACAATTAATTCAACTTAAATTTGAAATAGTAAAAAGCCAATGAATTAGCATATTAAATAATGATTTTAATTATTTAAAAAATAAGATAATACAAAGTTTTTAATGTTACTGAAATTTCTAAATTGAAGCAGTTATACTATTTACAAGAAGATTGTACCAAAACAGGAGTTGGTGTTTTTTTTTTTTTTTTTAAAGCTCTTTCCGTTTTACTCTCCTGTTGGTGCTCACACTTTTGACAGAGAAATCTTTTCTATCCAGTTAGTCCTTCTTCAACTGGAATGTTTTCCTAAAGTGGTGATTCTCTTGGATTCAAAAGCAGCTCTTCAGGCCATAAACTTTGCTGGTCCATTACGTATGAAAGATATCGACAATTCAGTTTTTTGGCATGTTTATCAAATTGTAATAAAACAGTTGTTTTGCAGTGGATCCTCGCCCACTGCAGAATCGAGGGGAATGAGACCACCGACTTTCTAGCAAAAAGGGTAGCTTCTGTTTTACAGCTAAATAGCCTGAAACTGGCCAACCAATCTATTAAGACAATAATTAAAAGGACACTATTAAGACAATCTATTAAGACAATAATTAATGAGTTCCTTCTCTAGAAATGTTGCTACTAGAAGTAATCAAAAGCCCTGGTTCAATCACATTCAAGATATTCCTGAGTGGCCTCATGATAAATCGTTGGCACTGTTACGACTATTTTCTGGCCATGATTCTCTCCTGAAACACCTTTATAAAATTAACTTGGCTCCAGATCCTCCTTGTACCTTGTGCAACTCTGGAGAGGTTTTTGACATTACTCACCTTGCCTCCTGTATCTTTATGGGAGCAAAATTGAATTGCAAGACTTAAGTTGATGGATTAACTGACATCTTTCTAACTTTATGTTCATTTCTTTTTGTTTTAAAGTTATCTGCTGTCCTGTGTACTTACCATTGGAAATAATAAAAAATAATACTATTTACAAAGTACAAAATTTTATTGAAGCACATTTTTGGATCATTTTAATCCATGTTGTCTCCAAACATACGTGGTATGAAAAAAGATGAAACTTTTGAAGCCATAACAAACAGATTATCCAGATACATTTTTCAAAACTCAGCATTAAGTTTAGAAAAACAAAGCAACTTGTTTTCAAAGGACTTTATTATTATATAAAATGCAACACTACTACTGTTTGCAAAATCATGCAATGTAACAGAAGACACCAAATTTAAACAAAATTGGGCACTAGCAAATTTGATAATTACAGAAATATGAATGCTAAATGTAAGAGATATTTTGAAGTCTCTAAAAAGCTACAGCATGGTTTGAAGATATTGGTTTAGTAATGAAAAACAAAACCATAGCAAAAGAAACAATAAAGCAAGTTTAATATGACTTGTAATGAGTATTTTAATTTTATAAGAGTTATTTTTAATTTTGAAACCTTTTCCTTTCAATTCTTGTTTCCTACTCACAACACCCTACCAGAATGAGTTTTTAGAATTGTGTTGAATGCAAATGAGTTAGAAGAAGTATTTAAAGGAAGTTTGACTTACTTCAAAAGGGTGTGCTTAGGAATCCTGAGTGGTGCATGTTTGCCTTCTAGCTGCTTCGTTCTTGAATCTATTACGCTCGGTCGTATTACATGCGCCTGTTGAGAACTGCCGGCTAGATTAATGCCTAGCTTCAGCTAAATCTATTCGGTTTGGTATTAGATTAGTTTCTCATTTTCTTATCCTGATTTAAAAAGCCCAAGTCGAGGCTTTCCTGTAAGCCCCAAAAGGGGCCATCTCTTATTATTTGAGTGAATAAAAAGGATATTTTAACCCTTTTCAAGTCTCTGTAATAACTGAGTATTGGAACTCAGCGATAATTTGCTACTTAGTTCACTAGGTTCCTTGACATATCCAGACAAAGTATCGAGGAACATTGTAGATTTTACCATTTTAATTGATACACTTAACAATTAATTGTATGTCTGAAACTACCAACCAAAAGAGACAATTGATCAAAAAGCAATTTGAAAAATCATAAATGAGAAAACTCTGGAAGACAGCTGTGAACCAACTGTGCAGCTTCCATATGCCTAGATTGATCATTTTTATGAAAAGGAGTGATAATTGAATTTGGTTACATAAATTAACTCTGCTCACTTAAGTTTTATAGAATGAGATTCCAAAAAATACTACTTTAACTGATAAAACAGTTCATAGAAAGATTATAAAATTTGCTTTCTTCCTCGCAGATAAAAACTGATAATGTCCGACATCTGATTTGCCAATGATATGTAAAAATACAAAGAATCAAATAGTCAAATTCTTTTTAACTTACAAATGTAAAATCATAATACTACTAAATACAGTTAAACTTCTCAAGCACACACATCCCTAAAACAGGTACCTATGAAACCAATCAACATTTCTGAGAATTTAAATGAACATCAATTCTCTAAAAAAAAGTATTTATGCAGACAACCAAATTATCTGTAACAGTAGATGGTTGATTTAAAAACTGTGTATTTTGCTTCTGGTGATAAATTTTAACAAAAAGTATCAATACATAAAAATATCAGCCTAAACTTGAGAAAATCCCAGAAACAGATACATTTTACTTTATTCATGTCAATGTTTCTGACTGAAAGATTAAGAAGACAATTATAATCTTTAGTTTTAAAATCACATACTTTCTGAATAGGAACATCTTCTGAATTTTCTTCTACATTATTGATTTCTTGTACTACATCTTCATCTGACTGAAATATATATTACATATATAGTTAGAAGTTTAGATAAAAATCAGAATTATTACAAAATTGAGTACTATAAAGATCTTACTGTACCTTTGACTGTAATGATGTTATTTCTTTTAAACTATAAATTTTCTTGCTTTTTCTTGGGGGAGGTATAGGTCTTAATTGTTCACCACTAGACACTAAAAAAATAAATAAAAAATTATACCGATATTATATTTCATTAATAAATTACAAATAACTAATGCATCATGCAATTTTAAAAAGTTATTTTTTTTTTTCCAAGTTTGAAAGTTACACCCCTATGCATATCAATTATAATTATATAAGAAAAATTTTCATTTTACCTCTTTACCTTAAGAAAATGCAGTATTGTTCAATTAAAGTATATGACTGATAACTGCCCCCTGGTTCCAAAGACCCTCATTCCAAAGAAATATTTTATTTTAATTTCATAAATCTTTAAAAACAAATGTAGTTGCCACGCTTATGTTAAAGCCAGCCTAGCTAGTTTTGAAATGAAAATAATTATTCTTACTGAGAAACAGGAAAAAAGTAAATATTTTTAAATATTAAGTATTTCCATAAATGAACTGAGAAATTAGCAATTTTTTTATTATTGAAGTTTTAGAGTTGGCTCATATACAAGTTCAAAATAATTTGCAAATAATTTGAAAAAAAAATATTAAAAATCAAATAATTGAAAAAAATATAACTTTTATTTTAGTTATTCCTAATATACATTGATAGCAAATTTCTTAACATCAGTAGTTCAATATTCTTGAAATTTTCAACTAATTCTACAAAGTCTTTGCTTGAAACAATTCTGAGCAAATGTCATCATCTTCAATTTCATCATTATCATCTATCTTGCAGATCTGCCTTACTATACATCTTTTAGGCACTGTCATCCACCTTTCAGATAATATTGTTACGTATTTTCTTCTTACGAACATACGGTATGGGTTTGTGGATTTGGAGTGAATAATGACGACATCTGATGAAGTATCGAAACACAATTTATTAGCCAGTATTATTCAAGACAGCTCCAATAACACATTTACAATTATTGAAGATTTACTATAAACATGCTGGAACAATCAGGGACACAGCCTTCAGACTATCAGGCTATAACAGTGAAGACAGCTTCACTGCAAAGCACCAGAGTACAGCTCCGGACTCTGCTCGGTCATTCTCAGAACTCTACTTACTCTCGAGACATTCCACGTTACAACTCGCGATGCACTTGACGATACACTAGAGTACACCTCCTGACTAGGTTCAGTCATTCCTGAAGCTCAACACACTCTAAAATAAAACTCAACAATGCACTAATTCGAGATATACTAAGAGACACTCTCGATGCACTCGGCACTAGACTACGAGACACGCACTCTTAACGAACTCAACTAGGCAATGAGCACTGATTATCAACCTGCATTTGAGAATGTTCTGGGCATAAACCAGTAAGAATTGGTTCTAGAAGATTCTCCATCCGTCTACGGCATATTGCCAATTTTGTCACCAAATGGGCAATTTCTCACCAAATGTGGCAATCCTGCTTTCCCTTGCCATTTTCTGGCACCCCTAAACCTGCTTTGCGAGGAAGTTATCTTACCGCGCCTGGACATTTCGTAACAATGTCATTTTCCAGATCATCTAGGCACTGGACAGCAAAAGTGATTTTTAATTTAAAACTAACATGATATAATTAACTAGCATAATTTAACATAAGTACATTTTTTTAAGGCATTTTTATAGAACAGAACTGGAGAATTGTATTTGCTGGTATAAATGAGAGTGCAATTGAGGAGGAAAAGTCTTGAGTCTGGGTCCAGAATGGTTAACACAGCTCAGAAACAATTTGCCATACAGTTAAAAGTCTTTAATCCGGACTCATCGGGACTTCGGCGATTCCGGATTATCTTTTTTGCTGGATTATAGATCATAAGTTTAAATCTGGTAAGATGGCATGCAGAAATTATAAAATTAAAAATATGAAACCGCAATTTATGAAATAAAGAGCAATTATGATCTAAAGGGTATCAAAATTTACAAAAAAAAAAAAGCTTAATATTTATTTGTTTACTTTATTAAACATTTCTTTCAATGTAAGTTGTTTCATTTTTTATGTGATAATACATTCTCTTTAATTCTATAAACAGACATAATTTCTTGTTCAGATACAAAGTTCCACTGTTCAAGTCCTGTAATTTCTGTGTTCGAGAATACCGACTAACTTGTGAATCGAATCGAAATTTTTTTTCGTTTTCAATAAGCCTCTCTGTCACTTTTTTTCACTTTTGGAAGCGGTACATCGAAACAAGCTTTCGCTTTGTAGATGCTTTGGCACCTCCAGAATCGGAAACTCTTTTTGACATAATTCAAAGTTCAAGCTTAATTTTTACAAAATTGCTCTAACAGTCTGCAAAAAATAATAAGCTGGATCCAATTAGAAGATTAAGGAACAATGCAATTTGCAACATTAACTGAAATAGATAATTAGATAATTTTAGTCAAGCTTATACCATCTGTTATACATTAAATGCCCATGCATAAATGCATACGCGCATACGTAAAGATATTATGCGCATGTGCAGAAAGTTTGTAGCTTTGAGGTCCGGATTACAGATCATTCCAGATTATGGACATCCGTATTAAAGACTTTTGACTGTATTACTAAAGCACCAAATGATGCACTTGCTCAAAAGTTGGGATAATTGAGATAAAGAGACTATTAGAAATAAAAAATGCCCTTTCTTTCTATAATGCTGCCCCCATGACTTTTCACACAGAAACTGAAAACGAAATAACACTTAAATTCAGCTAATCTTTTAGGTTTAACTAAGTTATTCATAATTTTGGCAATACATGTAGCTGGATTTATAGGGTAATTTTAAATTCGACTTATAGTTCCAAATTTTTGTTGAATTTTTGCAACAAAATCTTTTCATATATTTGGATGTATATGATAATAATTTAAAATACTGCCATAAACAAAAGATCAAACATTTCTTAAAAGAAAGCAATGGATATTTTATAATAATAAATACAACTGCATTAGCACAATTGTTCAAATAATTCAAAAGTTAGATTTCTCTGACTAATTTAGCTAGATAAACAAAATGATATTAAGCAACACATGAAATTAGCAAGCTAAGTTGCAGTCTAGTTTTTCATTAAAGCAAAAGCATATACTATCTTATGCTTTTAGAAAAACTTTAGCTTAATCACCTGTCTTATTCGTTCTCAGCTTCTTGATTAAACAATAAAATTTAAATATATAGTAACTAAAATGGTTAAATAAACCAATCTGTAAAAATTAATTTAAATGAGAACTAAATATTGATACAAACCCCTGTAGTAAGTTGTACACCCTAATCTTTTTAAATACAGAAAACATTTCAGAAATTATTTATATGAAAAGTACATCTGTTCTTTTATCATATACATAATGCATAATCAAAATTAATGATAACTTTAACCACATAATATTGCCAGGTTTGTTTTTACACAAAATAGTCATTATATACATATTTCAGCAAGAAAAATAATTTCATAAATTAAATTCTGTGCAAATATATTAAAGAAATATCAAAAGAAATTTAGCAAATGTTGCATTATACAATGTACACCAATATATAACAAAACAATATAAAAAAAAGCTAAGTTTTAATTCAAAAAGTTTTTAAAAAATATCTCTTATATGAAAAATATGAATGATTACCATCAGATGAAATTTCACTAGTAATGGAATTTTTCTCTGTTCCTTTCAACAAATGGTGTTTTCCAAGTTCTGGCAGAAATCTAGGTAATTTAGTCACAGAATCAGTCCTTGAAGAAATATCGGAAGCAGTGTCTGGTTCTATTGCTTCTAAATCAAAGCTATTTATTTCCTGAGAAGTCTTGGATCTCTTCTAAAAAGGTGAGTTTCTCTTGATTAAATGACAAAAAATGTAGAGTTTTTTTTAAATAATTAAAAACTCACAAACTAAAATTGCACGTAAAATATTAAAACTGAAATATCCTCATGAAAATTTATTAAATACAAAGACAAATTTATAAGTCATTTCTAAAACCCAAACCATTATGACATATTCATCACCAAAAGAAAGAATGAAACTAAAAAATTTTGTGGAGAAAAGAATGCTTTGAGAACACTATTAAAATACAGGCAGGTAAATTAATAGCTTTAATACATAATGAATAAAATCTAAATATTTTTTATAACTCCAAAGGTTGATTTTTATAAACAGCTTTATATTAACAGTTTTCTGATGTAATAAAACTTTACTGAAGCAATATTAAGATTTTTTTCCCCATATCAACTTGCTACCTTTTAATAATCATCAATTTAATCATAATTTTGGGTACGCTTCCATTAACGGGTCTGGATTCAGAAATAAAGTTTCAAAAACCAAATTTATTTCCAGATTTTACACGCATTTCTTTATTTTTCAACATAGGTGGCAAGTTTGTTTAAACACTTATCATATCTTAGAACTAGATTTTTAATACCCTCTTCATAGAAACTTGCCACCTGCTCTGTTAGCCAAGAGGTCACAGCCATTTCACGTCTTCATCATTGTTTTAGTGGTTGCCACCAAGATGATGTCTGAGATAGTGCAAAAGATGAAAATTGTTGGGCACAAGCTCTGGGCCATAGGGGGGGATTCAAAACTTCCCAGCCAAAAGAGTCCAATAAAGTTCGGGTTTGAGCTGAGGCATGAAGCCTCACTTTGTCATGAAGTAGTAAAATTACCTCTGTCAGCAAGTTACGTCTTTTGTTTTGAATCGCTTTGCATAGCTTTCACAGGGTTTGGCTGTGGGCTACCACATTTATAGTGGTTCCACATTACATGAAGTAAACCAGCAAAATACCATGCCAATCCCAAAACATGGATGCCATGATCTTGCACTTGGATAGGGTTTGCTTGGCCTTGACACTTACAGGAGAGTGTGTGTGTGTATCTCCACTCCATGCTCTGTTGCTTCCATTCGGGCATGACATGTGAACCCCATGTTTCGTCTCCTGTTACGATCTGAACAAGGCATCACATCATCAATTCAAAAAATTCAGAAAACACTCAAATCTTTTGTTTTTGTGGTCCTCTGTTAGAAGTTTAGGACCCAATGGGAGCACAGTTTCTTAAACATTAGCTTTACAGAAACAATCTTGTACAGCACTGACTTAGACACTTCAGAAAATTCATTTGAAAGAGTGCTTATGGTGAAACATCTATTATCAAGAATTTTTGCTTCAACTGAAGCCACCACATCGTCTGGGATCACAGATGGGAGACCAGAGCAGGATTCATCATAGAAGTTGTCATGGCCAGCATTGAAGTCTCTGACCCACTTACGCACTTTGCATGCACTCATGGCAGTAGCTCCGTAAACTTCACAAATCTGCCAGTGAATGTCTGCAGTGGACAGATTTCTTGCAGAAAAAAAATGTATCACTGACTGTAATTCCCGCAGGGTGAGCGATTTGATAATCTTGAACATTTTAAAGACACAGAACAGACTGTACAGGTTATCTATACAGCTGCAACTGAGCACAGTTGTTTCCAAGGTATATTGGGACACGACTCACTCGATGTAGCACTCGTAGAGTGCACGCCACCTATTAGTGTATGCAATAAAATGGCCCTTACTTAACACACTACATATATATGCACATGCATATGTATGTGTACACACAAATATACATACATATGTGCATACAATACCTATGATTCTGAATCCAATCCTGATAACAGAAGAGTGCCTAATTTTGTATGTCTAATCACACAGAAATTTAACTATTATTCATATAGTATATATATATGTTTCAATTTCACTGAACCTCCAGATGAATTATGCCATTAATTTTAGTCTATAATTGTAAATTTTGTAATCAAATTCTTAGAAAAATTTAGAAAAAAATTATTTTTAATTTCATTTAAACTGTTTATTACTAAAACATGTGAACATCAGCAGAAAAGTTTACGTTGATAAATTTATAGGCAGTGAAAAGACCTCATTTACCCACACCCCAAGAATCATATTTTAATAATCACACACCAGTAATTAATGTATGTACATTTTCAAGCACCAGACAGATTTAGAAAAAAGTTTTTCATTTACATAGATGCAAAATAAAGTTTAAATAAATTAAGCAATGTATTTAAAACAATTAAAAATACTTTCTGATTACGAAAAATATTCATGTGAAAAAGTATTCATGAAGCAAAGCAATATGTTGTGAAAATATTTGTGAGCAAACCAACAATGTCATTACAGTCAAAAGTCGTTAAGCCGGACTCGTCGGGACTCATCGGGAAATTGAATCAATGAATTCTGTGGTGTCATATAATGTTTCTTTAATGTCAATTCAAACTTAGCATGTTATGATATATTGAGAATAGGTGAAATAGTTGAACATCTTGAAAGTAGTGAAAAAAATATTAAAAAGAATCAAACTCTGATTATTTTAGCTGGGAATACTTTCATTTTAAAAATTCATGCTTTGCTATATTCAAGGTTATTTTAAAGTTTAATTTTATTGACTTTTAAAAGGGGGACTTGGTGAAATTTGGCATTCTATAAAATGCATTACAATATAAAAGATGTTCACATAATTGGATCTTCTTCAGAGTGCTAAAAATTCCAGTAGTGACATTTCGTGTCGCATGACTTTTAACACATGCCTCAAGCAAAGAATAAGAATGCTTCTGTCGTTTACATTTCTGGCTTTGTTCACTGGTAAGGAAAAGAAGTGGGAAAAAAATTATTTCAATTTGGCCCTGTTCCATAAAAAGTGGCTGAGCAAGCTACACTGTACTGGCAGGAATCCTGGTATACGGACATGGAATAACATTAATATGAAGAACAAGCTTTCAAGCCAATGCTTTAAAAGCTGCATTTTTTAAACTATCTCCCAAAAGTTAGTAAATGGTGTGAAAAATGCTAAAAACTGCTACCAAGAAAATCTTGATATTTGACTGCTTAATTGCTGTAATGTAAAAATTACTGTTAAATGTAGCGTAGGTTATTTTTTGTGTTAAAATCCAGTTTTAAATGACAGTTTCTATGTTATTTAATATATTTCATGAAGATCATTTGGACATGGAACATGTTTCTCAAGCATTTTTTTCAAGAGGACAGCTTTCTGAAAGTGGAAGTTCTGTGACTACCTTACTCTTGTCTCTTTTGAAAGCAAAAGTTTTTAGCATATGTTTACTACAGTCCAAAAGTCATTAATCCGGACTCGTCGGGCTTCGGATTATCGGCGATTCCGGATTATCAATTTTTCTGGATTATAGATCACCAGTTTTAAATCTGGTTAGATGCATGCAGAATTATAAAATTAAAAATATTAAACCGTAATTTTCTGAAATAAAGAACAATTATGATCTAAAGGGTATCAAAATTTACAAAAAAAAAAAAAAAAAAAACAAAAAAAAAAAAAAGCTTAATATTTATTTGTTTACTTTTTAAACATTTCTTTCAATGTAAGTTGTTTAAGTTTTTCGTTTTATGTGATAATACTTTCTCTTTACTTTACCAGAAGCGGATTATAATGACGAGGAATTGATTTTAAATCATATCAAAGACAGAGTACATCGAGAGGAAATACTAATGTAGTAAGGATTATAAGCAAATAAAAAAATCTGCCTAAAATAAGGATAGTGCCCGACAGATTCCTTTCAATTCATTGCGCGCCGCATCGTTTCGGCGTTCCCCCCCCTCCCCGGGCCGCGAGCAGCGTGAAATTGATAAACAGATTTGAATGGTTTGAGAAACGAATGACATGCCTTTATCCATTTTTTGCAGCAATTCCACTTTTGTTTAATGGACTTCGAAATAACTTTCGCTTTGTCGATCCTTTCCATATTAGTAAAATATAATTCGGAAATTCTAATTTGACATAAAATCAAAAGTTCAATCTTATACTCTTTTTATAAAATTGTGCTCTATCTAAACAGTCTGCACAAACAATAAGCCGAATCACAAATTCGAAAAGATATAGGAAACAACGCAAAATACTGCAACATTAAACTGATTAGATAATTTTAAGCTTAGCTTATAATAAATAGATAATAAAATATTACCGAACCGTCCATTATTATCACTACATTAACAATCCATAACTTCTTCAATCATAATACGTTTATGCTCGTGCACACATGCTTATTTCTCAGACGTAACAGTCTTACGCGCATGCGTCACGCAGGCATGCACAGAAGTTGGTGCTTTGAGGTCCAGATTATAGATCATTCCAGATTATGGGTGTCCGAATTAACGACTTTTGACTGTACCAGTATGCTTAGATTTTTTACATACAATTAATTAAAATTAATATGATATTGAAGATATTAGTATTAATCAATTAAGTTGATAGGAGAAATGTTAAATTCGTTTTCAATAATTCAAGGCTATTAGAGTTTGGATACTCTTTGTTTTATTAACTAAAAATTAAGTAAATGCTAGTACTTACATTATTGACATGGATGAGAATGGCATTTACCATCAATTTGATTTTGGCTCCTTGTTTTTATATATGTATTAATGATGAAAATGCTTTCTAACGGATACATATAAAAAAAACTGAATTATAATTTTTAAAGCACCATTGTGCAATTCACTATATTCCATTTACACCAGTACAGTCAAAAGTCGTTAATTCGGACACCCATAATC